GATTGAATTAATGGACTAATGATCATTATGGTTGCATATGACACAGATTCAGGCTTTGATTAAAAACCTCTACTCCAACCTAAAACTGTGTAACTATGATTACCTGTCTTTCTAAGTGTTAGAATCTCAACTTTGGTTCTAAGGCTCTCTGCCTGTAAGTCTCAGGCTTCTTAAGCACAGACTTTCTATCAACAAAGTTAGGTTCTCCTCTCTGAGGATGTGATTAGGTAAGAGAATCTGGGGCTGGTTTCCTCTTCATTCTGGCTTAAATATTACTTACTTTACCTCAGTATTTCATAATGTAAAACATAATTTATTGTTCAATTTACTTTAGAATTTTTTTTCATATTACAAGATTTTCACATTACTTGGCATTCAGTTACTCTTTCTTGACAAAAGCCAAGTCTTTTTCCTTGGCAAGAACCAAGTCTTTTCCCCCAGGGATTGTTCTCCAGAAGAAAAGCGTTCATTTGAATTTGTTCCAAATATTCTAATTAATCTATAAAAGCCTTATGTCTTTTTAATTAAAAATATTGCTGATGTAAAAGTCATAGACTATGTCTACACATATAAATGGAAGACTTCTTTTCCTGACAGAATAACTTATGAGATAGATAGGTTAAACATAAAAATTTCTGCCCAAGCTACAGTATGTCTTCAACTGATATCTAGTTGTCTTATTTCATCCACATTTGCTTGTAAAAATTTGTGGAGGATCTCAATTTCCTTGAATGAGATTTGGGAGATACAGAGACATGCCTTTAATCAGAAAAGAAGTGATCTTAGGGATATGCTATTTGAATGACTGAAAGACTGAAGAGATCTGCTTCTGACTGTGAGAAAGCTTTGTCATTGACTTTTTCACAAAGTTAAATCCCAGCAGTTCCTTGTTAGCTATAGAGCTAAATAGCTGGGCACATGAATGTTATAAATCCTTGATCACAGTAAAATATTCATGGTTGCTTCACCATAATTGACAGAGAAGATACAAATTCAAGAAACAAATTTTGGTGTTGACAAATTTTTTGTTTGCTTACCTGGGTCACCAGATAATGGGTGTGTCCAGGTTAATTTCCACTAATTAGGTCAATATTTATATTGTCATGCAAATAAATTATCTCTGCTTTTCTCTGAAGAAATTTTCCAGGGGATGTAAAATTTTAACTACCTTTGTACCGTAGATCCTGCCATTATGTTTAAGTGTCTTTATATTTTGGACATCTGCTCTGGATACCTTTATACTTTTCTGAAAATTGAGATAATAGAAAGCCTGTGTGGAAATACGGAAGTTGTCACACTAGGAGATATTTCTAAATCCATGGACCAGCCATACATTTTTCACGTGTTTTAAGAACACAAATAAATGCATGAGGTATCTTTAGTAACCCTCAGTGAAAGAAGCGTTGCTTTTCTGGACCAAGGACAAGACCCATGATGTGAGTTTTTGAAGCAATTGACAAGGGCTACTCACTGAAACTTCCTGTAATGTTTTGAAATATAGCTAACGTCTTAAATATCACATGTTTTTATTGGCGGAATCTTAATTGGGAAAATCAAGCAAGCACAACACAGACATTAATCAGAGTATACAAGTATATTTGGTTTCCATATATAGCCTTATAAGTGTTTATTTTCTAATTTGCCAAGTAACAAGAGAAACATGTTCCATGTTACACATAAAATAAGTAAACCAATAGATTTGTAATCTAGTATGTAGAATATTTTATTATGTGATACATTAACATAGGTATAGAATCATTTTTAGATATATTTGATTAGAAAATTTAAAATTGCAGACTATGTCAGTGTGTTAGAGTATAAAGAAATCAATGCCTAATATGTTCTGGAAGCATGATATGGTCTTCTATGTGTTAATCTAAAAATTATCTCAGCATATACAAGTTCAGGAAAGTATTGAGTCTACTATTCTTTAGAGAGATTTACAAAACCATATTGTTTTATAAATCTTATCTATAAGGGATTATTTTTGTTACTATGAGATTTTATCTTTTGAAAAAGTCACATTCTTAGGAAGCTGTGTTAAGTTGTTTTTGTCTAGAAAAGTGTTAACTTAGTTATTTATGTTGAGTGCCTAGTAATATTATCTTTCAGTTTTTAAAGTATTAAATCTTTGATGACTTAAGCTAAAGAGGATAGTTTACATATCCTGGTTTTTACAAGTAAACATCTAAACTGCCCAAGAGAAGATTTATCCTGGTGAAATTTATCATTGATGATTAAAGAGAGAAAAGGAACTAAATCTTGCAGCAAGTAAGATGTGAAAAAAAGAGAATGAGCTATAGGTTTTATTATACCCTTGTATTCTTCAACAGATGTGCCTTTGTTAGTCTATAACTTCAACAATGACAGAACTCTAGAATCAGCTGGAAGTGGTAATGTGAATGAGACATGTGGAACATTTATCACAACTGGGTTCTAGGGAAGCTCAAACTCCCTCTGCATATATCCTCCTCCACTGTCAGATCTATGTAAACGGAATCATCTTGTCCATATTTGAGGTTTAGTAATTCTGTAGTTTTCCTCAGCAGTGAATATCACAAAGTTTGTGTTTGCATCTCGACTTGTCCCATTGTTCTCTTTTCTTTAAGTTTGTCCTTAACTGTCAGATCTAGAGACACTAAGAGATCAATGTTGTTTTTATTTTTCTTTTTGAATTTTCTTTTTTCTTTTTGCTAGGATCTGGTCTGTGTCTATTTGTTATGGCTATTCCCAAAGCCTTCTGAGTCACCCAGGGACCCACAGGAGGTTGTGCTTCCAGTATTTCCTCATTAAAATAAATTTTTCTGAAGAAGATTTTTAGCAGAAAACTAGCCTCACTTTTTTTTTTTTTTTTTTGAGATAGTCTCACTCAGTCACCCAAGCTGGAGGACAGTAGCATGATCCTGGCTCACTGCCACCTCTGCCTCCTGGGTTCAAGTGATTCTCACACCTCAGCCTCTTGAGTAGTTGGGATAACAGGTGTGTATCACCATGCCCAGCTAATTTGCCTTACTTAATTATGAAATTAATCATCTTATTTCTTGTGAATATTAATGTATTTACTATAACTTCTATTTTTTTCTGATTTGACCCCTTTTTCTTTCATTTTCTACCATGTAGCTCTCCCGCTGATGATCAGTTCAACTTTTTTTTACTAGAATTCTGCTTGCTTCTCATTAAGGTATATTTTATTATGGTAAAATCACTACTCATACATAATTAAATATCTAATTCCTAAGACATACAATTTTATTGTGTGCCTCAAAAGGTTTCCCTGAATTATAAGTGTTTTATTCTTTTTAACAGACTATGTCTATAAATCTTTCCAAGTTGACAAAGATTCACACGATTTGTTCTGTCTTCAAAGTGAAGCATTCAATAACACGGATAATAACTATAACTGATTGAGTCCTTACTAGGTGCCAGCCAGTGTTCTAGGCACTTTACTTTCTTTTATAAATCAACAGTTCATTGAGTTCAAAATTAATTGCTGAAAATTAAGCAATTAAGAGGTAAGGACTACTGGGATTCCCATTCTACAAATGATGAAAGTAAGGGTCAGAGAGCTTTAGTAAATGGCCCAAAGTCTCATAAAAAATGGTGAACATGAGGTTGTAGCTGAAGAAACGTGGCTCCAGTGTCCACATTATTCACAACATGCTACACTTTCTCTTTGAGGATGTCTTGGATCTTAAATAGGTACATAATCAGTGAGAAGCTTATAGTCAGTACTCATAGTAATAAAAAAACCCATTGTCCCACAGACAACCATTTTTCATGTACCAGTCATGAGCTTGGAAATGTTTATTTAATTATATATTTATAAAAAAAGAAAAAAATTGTCAGCAGAATACCATAAAGGAGAGATGCACTAATAGTTCTGTAGATAGTTGACTAGAAAGGATTCTGAATTTCTCAAATTTAATCCCATGTTTTCCAATGAGTAAACTGAGACAGACTTGTAAATGCATTCAAATGGCTCAAATCCGTGCCTTCTTACACGGAATTTGGAATTTCTCTTAGAATATGCGTCTTTTTGGAATCTGGTAACTAAGATTCTATTTTTGAGTACTCTTGGTGTCTAAATAGTGTTATGAATAAAACCATGTCCCACTGTTCTGTACCTCTTTCTACAGTGTCTATTTTTCTCCTCTCTCACTACCTAGCTCATCTCAAGAATTCATGGAAAAAAACACGGCATATTTGTTAGTTGGTGATAGTCATGAGTTAGTTCACTGGAGTTCAAATTAATTAAAATTAAGATATTGTATGTAAGTGGTGAAAAAATTGGGGTATAGGCAAGGATAAAATGGAGAGAATCACAGCTCCTTATAAGTTGGACAAGGAGTCAGACCAAGTAATCACTACAGGGAACAGTGTGATGAAAGACTAACATTTAATGAAAGGCTAATAAAGACTGAACATACTTCGAGGCGTGAAGGAATGAAGGTCTAATAGTAGAAGGCCAGAGTACTGAGTGACATATTTCAGAAGATGTTATTCTTGCACAGATCATATTATAAAGATATCACACATACAAACAAAAAGGACTAAATCTATGTCTATTTATTTAGAGTTTATTACCATAAGCAGAGAGTAAGTTATTTGAGACCAAGAACCTGTTGACTATTCATCATAGCTGAATTCTGTGGCAAGAAAAATGTTTTAAATAAGTTATAAAATGTATGAATGGCTTTTGGGACTTTAACACTTCTTCTATATAGAATATTCACTAAAACTTAGAGGTAGAAGCCTTTACCTGTTGAAGAAACTAAAATCTTTGTGGAGAAATAGAATTGTCAAGGGAAGATGGACTCTTTGGATGAGAAACACAAGAGAGACTTACTGCATGTTTATTGTGTGTAAATCACTATTGAGGATACAACAATGAAGATGCGCTCTGTGACACAATGGATGTGATCATATTCCTGTTCACTGTTTCATTACAGGTTCTATTCTCCTGAGCTCTCACCTCTGATACAAGCCTGAAAGAAGAGTAAATGAGACAGAATAACAATATTACAGAATTTGTCCTCCTGGGCTTCTCTCAGGATCCTGGTGTGCAAAAAGCATTATTCGTCATGTTTTTACTCACATATATTGTGACCATGGTGGGGAACCTGCTCATTGTGGTGACTATTATTGCCAGCCCTTCCTTGGGCTCCCCAATGTACTTCTTCCTTGCCTGCCTGTCATTTATAGATGCTGTGTATTCCACCACCATTTCTCCCGTATTGATTGTAGACTTACTCTGTGATATAAAGACTATTTCCTTCCCAGCTTGCATGGGCCAACTGTTTGTAGACCACTTGTGTGGTGGTACTGACATCTTCCTTCTGGTGGTGATGGCCTATGATCGCTATGTGGCCATCTGTAAGCCACTGCACTATTTGACCATCATGAATCGACAGGTTTGCATTCTTCTCTTGGTGTTGGCTGTGACTGGAGGTTTTGTGCATTCTGTGTTTCAAATTTTAGTTGTGTACAGTCTGCCTTTCTGTGGCCCCAATGTCATTGACCACTTTTTCTGTGACATGTACCCATTATTGGAACTGGCGTGCACTGACACCTACTTTATAGGCCTCACAGTGGTTTTCAATGGTGGAGCAATCTGTATGGTCGTCTTCATCCTTCTGCTAATCTCCTATGGGGTCATCCTAAACTCCCTTAAAACTTACAGTCAGGAAGGGAGGTGTAAAGCCCTGTCTACCTGCAGCTCCCACATTACCATGGTTGTCCTGTTTTTTGTTCCCTGTATTTTCATATATGTAAGACCTGTTTCAAACTTTCCTATTGATAAATTCCTGACTGTGTTTTATTCTGTTATCACACCCATGTTGAATCCTTTTATATACACATTGAGAAATTCAGAGATGAGAAATGCTATAGAAAAACTTTTGTGATCCCAAAGTGGGAAGACAGGATTTAGATGCTCCAAGCTCAATTAAGAAGTCATCCCATCATGGCATCTGTTTGAAGTTCAAGATCTCAATCTCTATATCCAGAACTGAGAGTGGGGCTGCTTGGGTGCAGGTCCTATTGTGTACATTTTAAATTATGTATTTTCTCTATTACGCATCTATTGAGACAGGACATTTCTCCTGTATTCCCAGCACAGAGTGGAGAAAGGGAGGAATAGGTAATTAAAATAGATGCTCCTGTTCAAAAGGAAGGCTATGGTGCTTCCTTCTGTGTAATTTATTTAAAGACTTTGTGGAATATACAAGCACCATATTCACAAATATCTTTGAAACTAGCCCTTCTCAGACTTGAGCTGAAACTCTATGTGCAGTCAGATAATACTCTTAAGAATCTAGAATGATGTTTGTCTAGTTTAAGGTACTTATGATACACACCATTAAAATTTTCTGAAGTCTATTCATGGTGTCTGTACATCCACAAGTTCGAAACGACTTTTATTTGGATGACCTCTCTTACTGTCAGAGTATTTAGCTCTTTGCAGAGACTGGAAAGGGAAACCATTTTCATCTTTGAAACCAGCAAGTTCTGACTGTTTTATGTTTCTTGTAAATTCTGTCTGAAAATATAATAGTTAATCTTTTAAGTAGTATTATTTTAAAAATCTGACTTCTTATAAGATACAATGCTATAATAAACAGCTGTAACTTTCAATATTCTATTTGGAAATTTTAGTCAAATCCACCTATTCATTAAAGGACATTTTTAAAAATTTCTGCCTTACTATAGGTGACAGAATTACTAAATGTTTTCATCACTAGATAGAAACTCACTTTTTTTTACAGCCTCCAAAACAGTTATGTCTGTATTTTCAGCCTTTACATACAATATCCCGGGGGCCCTTAGTTTTATATACTAAAGCCAGTTCCATACACTTTAAATTGTTGTTATGGAAACACCACACCTTGAGGTGCCACTTTTTATTCTCGTCCTGTCTTCATATATGGTGCAGGGCTCCACAGTTTTTGTGATTTCAAATAACCATCATTTTATTTTATCTCAAAATTTTGTGAGTCAGGAATTCAGGCAGTTGTTGGCTGGGTATTTCTTCAGTTTTGTGTGGCAACGACTGAAGTCACTGTCTTATTCAGCTGATAACTGAGTTTTATGAAATGCAGGATAACTTAATTCACATTTAAAGTGTATTGGAAGGGATGACAGTAAGAGATGCAACACGGGTTCCTCTTACTATCCCTTTAGATGAAGGAACATATCAAAAAGAGCATATTGTAGTTTTATTCATTTTAAGTTGGATCCATAATCATCTTGAATTAACATCTCAGCAACACTGGGTTTTCTAATTCCTAAATACAGTATATCCGTTAGGTATTTTAAATGTTTATTTTTGAAGAGGTTTGCAGTTTTTATTCATTCCCATGTGAATGGGAGTTCATTCATGATTTGGCTCTCCGTCTGTTACTGGTGTGTAAGAATGCTTGTGATGTTTGCTCATTGATTTTGTATCCTGAGACTTTGCTGAAGTTGCTTATCAGCTTAAGGAGATTTTGGGCTGAGACAATGGGGTTTTCTAAAATATACCAATCATTCCATCCTGCAACAGGGACAATTGACCTTCCTTTACTTACTGAATACCCTTTAATTTCTTTGGTCTGCCTGATTGCCCTAGCCAGACCGAACTCCTCCAATCATAATGTTGAAATGGAGTGGGTGAGAGAGGCCATCCCTGCGTCTATAACCGCCGGTTTCAAAGGAATGCTTCCCAGTTTTTGCCCCATTCCAGTATGATATTGGACTCGGGGTTGTCATAAATACGCCCTTATGAATTTGAAGAATATGTCCATCAATACCGGAATTTATTGAGAGTTTTAGCATGAAGGCTGTTGAATTTACACAAAGGCCTTTCTGCCATCCTATTGAGATAATCATGGTGGTTTTTGGTCTTTGGTTCTGTTATATGCTGGAGTCTATTTTATTGATTTGCGTGTGGTTTTGAAACCAGCCTGCATCCCAGGGATTAAGCCCACCCTTTGATTATGTGGATAAGCTTTCTGATGTGCTGCTAGGAATTCGGTCTTTGGCCAGTAAATGTTGTTGAGGAAATTTTCTGCCATCGGATGTGTCAATTCAGGGATATCGGTCTAAAAATTTTCCTTTTTTGTTGTATCCTCTGGTCCAGGGCCTTTTGGTAACAGGAATGGAGAATGCTTGCCGTGGTAAAAGAGGTTAGGGAGATCCCGTCCTTTTTCTTAATTGATTGCGAAATAGTTTTCAGAAAGGCATGGTACGCCACCACTTCCCTCCCTTGTACCTCTGGCGTAAAAATCGCTGGTGCAAATCTGTCTGGTCTGGACTTTTTTTGGTTGGTAGGCTAATAATTTATTGCCCTCCAATTTCAGAGCCTGCTATTGGTCGATTTAGGGAAATCTTAACTTCTTCCTGGTTTAAAGTCTGGGAAGTATTGTAAGTTCCCAGGAAATTATCCATTTCTCTAGGTTTCTAGTTTATTGTGTAGCAGGGTGTTTATAGATTCTCTGAGCGTAATTTTGTATTTCTGTGGGCGTTTGGTGGGTGATATCCCTTTTAATCATTTTCATGGTCCTATTGAATTCTCTCCTCTTTTCTTCTTTATTAGTCTTGTTAGCAGTCTATCAATTTTGTTGATCTTTTCAAAAAACCAGCTTCTGGATTCATTGATTTTTTTGGAGGGTTTTTTGTGTCTCTTCTTCTTCAGTTCTGCTCTGATCTTAGTTATTTCTTGCCTTCTGCTAGCTTTTGAATGTGTTTTGCTCTTGTGTCTCCAGTTCTTTTAATTGTGATGTCAGGGTGTCAATTTTAGATCTTTCCTGCTTTCTCTTGTGGGCATTTAGTGGTATAAATTTCCCTCTACACACTGCTTTAAATGTGTCCCAGAGATTTTGGCATGTTGTATCTTTGTTCTCATTGGTTTCAAAGAACATCTTTATTTCTGCCTTCATTTCGTTATGTACCCAGTAGTCATTCAGGAGTGGGTTGTTCAGTTTCCATGTAGTTGAGCGGTTTTGATTGAGTTTCTTAGT